TACTTTATATTATTTTCGTATCCTTCATTGTGGAACTGAATGATGTACAAAATTGCAAGAATATCGTTGCTTCTAATCATTGAATCAGATCTGCGGACGTTTATTAGTGCTGAATTAGCCACAAGTCTCACACGAGCGTCGATGGCGGAGTGGCAGCGACACTCGGGCGATCACCAAAGTTCAGCAACGTCGGGCGTAGTTAGTACTTCGATGGGTGACCGCTTGGGACCTCGGGCGCAGCGCGGCTTAACTCTGGCGAATATTGAGTGTCAGGTTCTCTCAGCGTTACTTCTCTGGTGACTGCGATGAAAATTAAGCCTAAGAACGTGCATCGCGCCTATTTAAGCATTTTGGCATTTTGGAAATTTTTTTTTTCAGTGTGCGATATCATGGTGATAACATGTTGATATCATGATGATAAAATGTCGATATCATTTATGATAATAGGTTACATTCACCATGTTGCGACCATGTTGGGCCAGACCAACTTGTTACCAACGTGTTCATTTTTAGCGTCGACGATCTTTGAAGGCAAGCGATGTGTTCAGGAAATATCATAGATCAGATTTTGCGATTTTCAAGGAATTTTGTGCAGATCTCACTGAAAAATCGAAGAGATAGTTCCAGTTTGTGCGTGGAGAAGAGCCTACAAACAGGCGTAAATATTGTTTGACCAATCGACACCTAGGTACAAGATTCGATCGGTCATAAGGCAAACTTCATTGTATATCATTGACTGTGTTTACGTTTGGGTCGGAGAAGAGGCTGAAGGTTTTTGAACTGATGGATAAAAACCACTCAGCGTATCCTTAGACAGCCGAGGAATCTTAATTTAAGCATAGAATAATCTCGAAACATTTTCTGAAAACGAAGAGCAGCATAAGAAATGAACTGCACTTCGGAATTAGGAATACAATGTCTGACTCCGTATGGGTACAACGTATGTACCATGCATACAACTGTTCTCACAGATGGCCTGGAAATGGTAGCTCCCAATATTGCCAATTGTAGTCCAGATATCACAGGTATGCAATAGGAACCAAAGAATACTGGTACTCCATACTCTCTGATATGAACTAGCATGTTAAAACGAGGTGTCTTGTCTCAACCATTTGGACGCATTTCTGCCAAACAGAACTATAGACGAGTAGGAAAGATGAAGTGTGTTCGTTGAGGCTACATAAGAAACAATGTAAAAGTGAGAGACTTCCTTTTGGAGAAACAGGAAAGCGGGATGTTACATTCTTTCAAACCGAACTATGTGCCAACTGAATGCGGCACTCATGAGCCGTGGGCATGGCAGAAGAGCGTTGTAGACAGGGCTCATGAGTTACCTAAGGCCGAGCAAGGGCGACAACGGAGACGGCTTTGTTGCCGCTGACACTACCAATGCTTTATAATTCCCATTCATTCTTACGGTCCCCAGCCAACGAGCGGTAGCTCAACGACGACGAAGACAATACGATATAATTATGATAGCGAACAAAATTTCAACTCGAGCGTCTGCGGGAATCGATGTTTAGAATGGCACGTACAAACCAGGAATATATAGTATTCGGGAAAATATGGAGACAAATAAATAAAGATGTCACACGTTCATGTTGACGTTAAGGAGCAACGCACTCGCGTTTGCACTGCCTAGACCTCTCGGGTTGTTTGGACCTTGCGAGGTTGGTCTCACGGGTTTTGTAACTTATTATCCCATCCCGAACATCGACAAAACGAATAGACAGCTTTTCTACTCCGAGAGCCGCGACGAGAATTACTCGGAAATTCCGTTCCCGATCGGAGCCTACGAGATCGAGGGTATAGAAGAATACTTTCAGGAACAACTTGGCGGAGCAGTAGGTATCAAACTCAAAGCAAACAACGGTACGCTCAAAGTAAGCATCAAATCCAAGTAAGTACTGGATCGATTTCCGCAGACCCGGCACTTTACCTAAGGTGCTCGGATTCGGATCGCGTCTCTTAGCACAGGACGAATGGCACGAAGCTGACTATCGCGTCAACATCTCACCCGTAAACATGATATGCGTCGAATGCAGAATCGCCGACGGTGGATACGTGAACGGGGCGCACGGATATCACATCTATGCGATTGCTCCCGATATCGAACCAGGATTCAAAATGGTAGGGCAACCGTCGACGATTCATTACTACCCCCTCTTGGGTGATAAGATATCCAGCGTTTGCGCGTTAATATAGTAGGACGACAAGAAAGAGCGATCAATTTCGGTTGTGAAGAAGTGACAGTTCGACTGCACGCGAGACCGGTAACTTATGGGTAAACGAAGGATCCAGAACGACGCTACGTTCCTAAATTCTCTTGCATATAATAATATTGATAGTTCACGGAGCAGTTGCCAGCAGCAGCAGCAGCAGCAGTAGAGGAAAACTTGGACCGAATATTCCAAGAGGGCTCTCATACAACTCGGATTCGTGGTGAAAAATCCAAAATAAGAACGATGGAATCTTGACGACAAGAGATCATCGAATACGAATATATCCGTTTCGGTCCGGTCGACGAACGGCGTGGAAACAACGATTCGATCTGGCTCACCCCCGATACCGACGGCCTGATCACCGCGCCTTAATATTCGAGGATCTTCATGCGTGTAGAAGTTAAACTCGAGAAAAATCCTGGAGCCGCCGCAGATGCTACGAAACCCAAAGTCAAGTTGGCTACTTAACAATCATCCCCGGCATTTGTTCGACCGTATGCAGTACAAAGGGACGGAAGTCGATATCATGCAGTCTGTCGGAGTGACATCAATCGTGAAAAAGTATCTGACAAACACTAAAGCGGAAACCGCGGCACTCGCAACCGATCAATTTGACTTTTCATCTACCACTCCTATATTATAATCGGGGTGATTCCTTTGTTCGGCTGCCACTATATTTATGTGCTGCTGCTGCATGATTTCAGTTCTGAAATATTCCCGATAAGAGAAATCCGTCAACTACATACACAGTCGCAATACGTTCGAAATAGCGCAGGATGGATATACTAACTAAAGGGCACGTAGCTGCCATCGACCAACGAGCCAATGGTCGGTTTTTTAAATTTTTGTTAACTAACACTTACATACTGACGACTGTCACTTACCGTGACTTTATTCAACTTCATAATAATAATATTCATAATAATACTGTGGATATGACTTTATTCACACGGGCTTATAGCGTCACAATGCGTATGTATATAGAACTCTGTTACCACGGAGACGTATCTGGTTGAAGCTTAATTAGTTGTAACAATCTCAAACTCAGCTCCATAGACACTTCCGATGCGGCTGGGTGCTACAGGTTACATGAGATAACCGAAAGATTTTACCACGTCCTTTGGGAATTGCACTCGCGAGTCTGCACATCTTCCACGCCCGTTCGACCATTTTCTTATACCCTTGCTTCAGGGAGTAAATTATTTCTTGCTCGTCCGCGAGACGTTTAAGAGTTGCTTCTTAAGGAATCCTGGTCTCTAGTGATGTGTTCTATTAAAGACATTCTGAGAAGCAAAGTCAATTTCTGAACAACTTAGAGCGCGCCAAAAGCTGTCTCTTTGCCCGATGTATGTCCAACGGACGATACTGGGAGGTATCAGCATGGATTATCATAACTTGTGTAGCTTTCTTTTCTTTATATGCTTCTTTTTTCTATTTATAGTACCTAATTGAAGAAAAAAAATTAAACAAACATTTTTAATTCATCAATCTGGACATTGCAATATCCAATCCCAGTCGCTCATCCCAAAACACAAGCCTCCGATACACATTTCCAAGCGCACACCGCCACGGCACTATAAATTGAAATCCTCGAATCAGACCCTACTCTCCAGTCTCGGATACCAGTCCAGTCCAATCCTGAAGGAGACGGTCTAAAGATGCCAAACATTTTACACGTCCGAAAATCCGAATTGTTTGTGCAATCTGACAACAATGTAAAGAAAAATGATTTGCGTCATAAACGTGTTTTTAACATCAGACGTACAACCAGTCAGTACTAAAAGTCAAGAGTAAACGACCAATTCCATTTATTCAAGCAAGCATAAAAACTCGTTTATACACATAAGATACGCATGCGACTTAGGTAGGTAAAAGTCGAATTTTCTCGAAAACGAAAAGTCGTATCAAAATTCGGCCTGTACAGTTTACCGATCCTCGATAGTGTAAGAGGATCGCATCGGTCTGGGGCGGATCGGAGGAGGAGAATTTTCCGAAAATGTTTTCCCGCGCGGGAATTCCCCGAGTCAGACCCTTAAAATTATATGTTGCCAAATTTCACCGATGATTAAATCATTCTTTTATGTGCACCGTCCGGCAACGTTGTCGCATAACCTACAAGTTGGAGGGGCATCATACACCATTGCATAACACGCATATTGAAGGGGCTACATGCAATGTCTCGTATGCATAACCCGGAAAATGAAGGGGCTACATGCAGCGTTGCCATATTGCACAATACCCGCCCCACAACACTGTCATTTAATTCATATTTTTCTGCACAATTTGGTATGTTACCCCTTCAGTATTTGGATTATGCAATGGTGTAAGCGTTTCTTTTTACTGCGCTAAAGTCCTCATTTACACCCTACTAGAGTGTAGCACTGATGCACTCCTTCCCCTCTCCCCTTCTGGTATAAAGAAATTAGTCTATCAAGAATGGCGTCCGATGTAATTCTACGTCGTGTTCTTATGTATGTTGAATAATAAAGTTTTGGTAATTAAATGGAACCTTGTGTAGTTAATGTAGCAAAATACGCAACTTTCGTCGAGTCTTTTTTTAATTTCACACTGCGGAAGGCTTCTTACATAGTATTAGGTACTCTAAAATCCCCATACGACTTTATTCAACCCCAATTTTTGCGCTACAGACCCATCGGTTTTTTCTTTTTTCTTTTTTTTTTTTTTTTAAGGAAAGCCCGTCATAAATCATTTTCTTACACAATCCAACCGTAAATGAACTAGAACCTCATTGACTTTGAGGTTGATTTTGTGTCTCAGGTTCGGTCGAGTTCATTGTCATGGTCCAGAAAGGAAGTGGTAACTTTGAGGTCGTAGAGGGAGGTGCTGCAATTGTGACAGGAAAAATCACAGTTCCAAATGACATCACGAAAGAAACCATCAATATGGAACTACCAGAAGATACTGAGACTGGTCCAGACCTAATTGAGCTGAGTGCCAAAGACATTTATAAGGAACTCAGGCTCAGAGGATACAATTATAAAGGTTTATTCCGTAGCTTAGTTGCTGCTGACACTACCGGTGAGTTGTGCGTAATGTTTAAAGATTAGTTAAGAAAGGTTGGGAGGTATTTGGACGTATTTCTGCCAAACGGAACTATAGACGAGTGGGAAAGATGGAGTGTGCTCGTCAAAGCTGCTTAGGAAACAATATAAAAGTGGGCATGGTACCCTTCGGAGAAATGGAAAAGAGGGATTTTACATTCTGTCAAACGGAACTATGTGCCAACTGAATGCGGCACTCATAAGCCGTGGGCATGGCAAAAGAGCGTTGTAGACAGGGCTCATGAGCTACCCAAAGCCGAGCAAGAGCGACAACGGAGACTGCTTCGTTGCCGCTGATGCTACTGGCGCTTTATAATTCCCATTTATTCTTACGATCCTCAACTAACGAGCTCACTCCATCTTTTCCACCTGCACGTGGTTCTGTCTGGTAGAGATACGCCCATTTCATCGAATCGTTTTCACACCAAGACCTTACTGCTAAAAGTCATACTGTTTTAAAGACATTTGAAAAATGTCTCCAACCAAAAATTAGTCTTTTCTATTCACACAATTTTTAAAAGGTAAAAACCTGAAAGGCATGAATTATATCTAAATACACACACATACATATACATACATACATAGGGTGTCCCAAAATTACCACAGCTGGTGCCATAACTTTGAAGCGAATATGTAACCCAGTCAGCTGGTTCTGATAACATCTACAAGAACAGCACATTTTTTAACTCCTGACATCAGGTTTAGTTTATTTAAATTAAAACTCCTCCACAAATATTTTTATCTTAGTTTACGTAGGAGGCAAGAAGCTCAAAGAAGTGCAAAAGTTACTAACAGTGTAAAGTTAGGATGAATTGCAGACTTTTCTTTTCCAAAAAAGACTTTTCTTTGCTCCCACAAAATTTTGCAACCCAAATTTTGCAGACCCATTTCCAAGTTCTTTATTACGTGAACTGAACCGAGCAGGTTGCATGACTTAATGAGTTGAGAAGTGTACTCCTTAATCATTGAATGTTATAATCCAAGGCAAGGTTGGCCGAGTGAGCTGGTGCAACAACTGGGTCGCCTTTATGGACAACTTACTTCAAATACAGATTTTGCAAGATGACACGCGAGGTCTTTTTGTTCCAACATCACTTCAGAGAATGGTCATTGACGTCAGAAAACACATATCAATTCTTCATACTCTTGATCCGGAAAAACCAGGTATATATCACAAAAACCATTATTCAAAGAGACAAGAGAAAGATATGAGAACGTGTAACATGTATAATGATTGTCTTAATGAAGATACCAATTTTATTATTACGCACATGGCTTTCAAAAGTTCATGTTGAATCATTAACTCATGAATCCACGATTTTAGTTTTAGCATTATAATAATTAAGATTTTATGGATCCATTTGTACATATTTACTAACTGCGCCAGCCGATGGATTCTGCTATTTAGAAGTGATGTGAATACCAATAGATTTATAGATACATAACCTCATTGCTTTTACGCCAAAGTAGTCAAAAGCGCAAGAATGTTTCCTACAATAATTGAAATGTCTCGTATTCGAGAGCAGGTCATAAATTAACTTTTGATATATCAATGACAGATTTGTAAGGCCTTGTCTCCACGGGAGGTTTTCATAGGATTTGTCATAGTTCGAATCGCAGGAATGAAACTTCTGGGATTTTTCCCAGTTACCGTCTACACGGGACGGGGCTCATACGGTCCTGCGACTAGTTTGCGCGTGAAGATAAATTAGTTAAAGTCGATTATTTAACCGAGACTAAAATAATAATTGCACTCAATTGACTACCTATTAGACACATTATTTTAACTAAACAAACATTAACAATGGAGTAATGAAGAAAATATCGCACAATTCGTTCTCACTTCTTCGTCCTCCCTCAGTGGGTCCTGGGGGTACAAGGACCATACTTGGTACCGGAAAAAATATTGATTAACTCAATATATTTCCCAACTTCGCAAGTGGGATTTTTTCCAGGGACAAATCCCGTGAAACATCCCATGGAGACAAGGTCTAATGAACTATCAGGATTAAAGGGATACTTCAAAAAGGAGGACCTAGAGAGGACTCCTTTGCGGGTTGAAGAGCACCCGTAAAGGAGTTTGGAAATCAAGATGTCTCAGAAGCAACTTTGAGCTACTTCTCTCTTGACACTGTATTCCTTGCCGTAATTCGAAATCACTGTAATTCTTCGGCATTACAGAAATTGTTGACCTTTTTCTTGAGTCATCATTTTGGATAATCCTTGGGGACTATGGACGTATTGTACTTGCAAGTTTGATGATTTATATGTGGGGTACAGTTCCTCTGCATTACCACACTTATGCAATTTGAGCCACTAAAGAGTCAGGATTAACACAATATTATCGTGATGAACAGTTAAATAAAAATATCTCGGTTATCCCTCAATTCTGTGGTTATATCATATGAGTCACCCAGGTATGGAAATTGATGTAACGCGTAGGAAAGCATTTTAGAACTTCACTTAACACATGTGCATGTGTCCTTTTACTGTATGGTCCTTCATGTTTATAACACTTCCTGAGAACATTTGATTTTAATGATGATGTTTAACGTCACTCTCTTTCACTCAGAAATGCAGGTGAATGTTTATAAGGAAATCGAATTGATTAAATCCGGCGGTGTTGAAATCCGAGGCTTGAAAGCCAGTGCAATCTCCAGGCGTAAACCATTGGGTGAACCTGTCTTGGAAAAATACTTGTTTTATCCTCAGGAAGACGAAGAGGTTTGTTTTTTATATCGAGTTGATGAAACTGATTTCCTTTTCCTGAAATTTTTCATATATATATATATATATATATATATATATATATATATATATATATATATATATATATATATAAAC